TGCCAGGGAGAGAACTGGTTGTTTGGCGGCGCAGACGGTGCATTCGCCTCGCGTGCTGATCCAAAGGAGAGTGGGAGCCATAGCTGGCCTATAGCATTGGGGCAGGGAATGTCAGGTGGTGTAAGAGAGCTGGAGAGTGGAAGACATACTGCAATAAAAATGAGAGACACGAGTAGACGGGGTCCAAAGAGACCCATTACGGAGAAGAAAATCGAGGACGGAAAAACCTCTAAAGTTGTGCGGTGAAAGATGAAGGGGTTTTATACAAGCCTCAAAAGGTCCAGACCACTCAGCACCGGGAGCGCAGAAACGCCCTTGGAGATTATTGGTGGAAAACCGTGCAGCCGGGTTATGAAATGAAACCATCAGCAATATGAGAGAAACGTAAGGTCGCGGAAAATGGAGGGGCGGGTGAGAGTTCAATCTTGCGAAGATTCTGTGGAGAAAGGTCGACAGATCACCACAGTAATGCCGCGAAGAATTGTTGGCAAGATGTGTCGGGAGGTCAGTGTGATTGATAGATTGAGATGGTGGATTTGAAAGAGAGTGAAACGAGGTCAGAGATTCTGATAGAGGGTTTACCAAAAATAAAATCAATCCAAGGGTTGAAGTGTATATCGGAACTTTGAAGGGGAGGACATCGAACGTGGCTCGTCAATAAATCTGTTGGGCTTCAGCGTCATGGTCGTTGAATGCGGTGCACACGAGTAATCGTGGGAAAGATGAATGATTTGATCCGTAATTCAGACTCCGCCCGGCTGCTTAGGAAAGGAAGGGGAAGCGCGGGGGTCGGGTGCTGTTTATTGTCCTTCAGCCCGGCTGAGTCTTTGTGCCTCCCCTCGCCGCCTTAGTGAGAACCGCGAGGGCGGATTAGTCGACAAGCACCTCTAACGCGTCTTGCGCTGTATCTGCAAGGGAAAGGGGCGGGACGTGGTTCAGCCTGAACCATAACTCTCTGTCGATCCCAACTTACCGGTGATTAGAATTTACCTTTGAACTTTATCTTTTCTTCTTCCTTTTCCCCACCGCCGCGTTAAAGTGTACTGATACATTCCCCCTTCCCCCTCCATGGTCGCCTTACGTTTCGTTTCAATCACCTCTTTCGCGATGCCCAGTCCTCGTTCCTCATGTCCGACTCGAATCCTACCCCTCCTCAATCCGATGATACGCCACCAACCTGGACCCAACCCCCGTGGCAAGGTTGGATCGAGACCACTGGCGATGCTCTCCTCATATTCGAAGCCGCTCGTCGAGGAGTAATCCCTCGTGTTACTCGCAGACTGGTCGAGTCTGAACGGAAAATGATCACATCTGGCTCCGTTTTCGTCTTCGATGAAGCTGAGAGCGGCATCAAACGTTGGACCGATGGCTTTTTTTGGAGTCCTAGCCGGATTCTGGGTAATTTCCTCCTCTACAGAGAAACAGAGAAGCGTGGTGCAGCCCTTCGTTCTAAGTCCGGCGACCGCCCAGCGGACATAAACCCCGGAGACAACCATCAAGAGTCTGGTCGAAACGAAACGACCTCACTCAGTCGTCCCAAAGGAGAAACCGGGGGGATCGACAGGGCGAGGGAGAGATGCCTCGTTGGCAGTTTGACCAACTCTTACAAGTTCAAAGCAGGCGGCATGGTCAAAAAGGTGCTGCTTTACCTCTTTCGGATAATCAGCATTTTTCGACCCATCCTTCTACCAGACGTTTTCTCTCACCATCGACAGTGTAACGCAACACTTGATCTCGTATTATAAAGTTGAAGACGTCGAGGAAGGACGGCTCAGATCACCATCATCACTTCCCGAGATCGCATCGCTTGACATTAGCCCGGAATATTTGGACAAGCAGCACTTTCGGATAGCACCCAAGATCGAAATATGCTTTGATGGGAAACCTAGATATCGCGGGGAGGCAGACGAGATTGATCATTCAATCGACGGCATATTGAGTTCCCCTTTGTCAACCGGTGTCCCTCTCATCACCGATGGTCGTAATCCCCCTGATTCTGACTCCCGAAAACGTGGAAAGCGCTACGACCCGTATGGTAGTCCTAGCAAGCGAGGCAAGAAACCAAAGCGCACCAATTCGACCGTTGCCGAGCATCACTCCCCCCCAGAACCCAACCCGAAACCGACGCTTACCGTATCCGTCCCACATTCAGACGGTTCCCCCTCTCAGCAATCGCCTCAGCGGTTCCAGTCTCCCACAACTTTCCCTCCTTCCCACATTCAATCACCTCAACTCCCAAATTCATTTGCCTCTAGCTCAACTGGGTTTCTCCAGAACCCTCCGGGCGCGGTAATTTCGCCACCACAGTATCCGTCGATGGGGATACCGCCTCAATACCCGGTCATGCACGGCTATCACGTTCCAGCCTACTCTGGCACACACCCATATCCTACAATCGGACCGCCGCAATCAACGGCTGGCTCGCCAGTGGCCACCCAAACACCATCCACACCGGTTCCTTCACAGGCTCAGCTACCATATCCTCATTATGTCCCCGATTCTTCACAGCCGCCGATGTATTACTACCCCCCATGGAATGGATATGGCGGATGGAATTACCCGGGAGGATATCAGAATGGGAGTGGATCAACTTCGAACACATCTACCGTGGATGTGATCACCAATGGCGCTGGTCAACCCCCTCCTGGAGATAATTCAGAGGGAGGCGTGGATCAAACGGACGTCCCAACATGAGCCCTCCCTCGTCCTTTTCTTACCCTTCGCAGGACATCCTTTACGTTGAGTGCGAACTTCGCCTCGGCGTGTATCATAGCCAGCATAGATTTCGTTCGTGATCGTGTTCCTCTGTTCGATTTGCTGTGGCGTTTTCAGTTTTCCTGTTTTTGTACCACCACCCACGTTCAGGTAGATAGGCAGAATATTGATATTTCCCTCGAGTGTTTGTTCGCTTGGAGACAAAGGCATGAGAAAGGAGACATGGTAATCTCGGGCAGGTGACGTATCTTGGTTTCCTCCGCTCTTCCACGACCATCCACATTCCTTGCAGTTTTATTTTCTCAACCTATACCCATGTCCTGCTTTTCTTCTAACATCCAACGCTTCACGCCTCCCCCGTCTCCAACCCACCTTGTTCGGCCCGACTCGCCCATTCTCCCCACGCATGAGCCAGCACCGGACATCACCGACACGAATCCTTCCCATGCATTTGGTGCTGACCGCCCCAAACTCAGGAAGAGGCGAAGTAGTTTAACCGTCAATACATCCCCCTTGGTTCAGCTCAAGGGTTCTTATCGTGGGGCGACTATTGCCACTCAAAGGCAGAACCGCAGCAGAAGTGGAAGCGTCAACGATTTCTCCTCCCCTTGCCCCGTCAATTATCCCATTGGCGAGGTCAAGGTCATTGGCCGCCCAAGGAGCGGAAGCGTCGGTAACTCCCTCAGGTGGGCCACGTTCGGTCTTTTCTCTTGCCAGCGCACGGCGTATTAACGTGCATATAGATCCCGTCGCATCATTCGAGGCGCCAGGCCACCCCCTTCCACACCTTTGCCACCTATACCGGTAGTTCCTTCCTCTGCCCCGCACTTTGGCAGCTTTGACTTGGGCGCCGACATCGCACATCGTCGCTCCCTCATGTCCAGAGTCTCAACCCTGGAAAATGTCGAACAAGCCATCCCGAGCTCACCTGCCGTTCTCCACGGGTTGGACACCGGGTTTACGCTGAAGCCTATGGTCAATGACCCCGAAGGTCTTGTTACGAAAAAGAATTGATGACCAATTTTGATGAACACGGGTTTCAGCTGCAGCAGCCGGCCCCGGCGCTTCAGGACTTGTATGCCAGGATATCACCTTACTTCTACCTAATTTTACTTCGTTATTTTCGCAGTTAATTGGTGCTCTGTGAGAGCGACGCCTCCAATAGTGGGGCCACCTCTCACGTGGAGTCACTCCTTGTTCTTACGTGCCACGAAACTTCAGCCTACAGGTCTGGTACCGATACCACATTTGCTCCCTAAATAATATCTATTCACTTTCATCCCGACCTCGGCCTCTCACGCCAATACATTCGATCCACATGAAGCTGGAACTTGGGGTTTTTTCCATTACAAGTCGCGAACCACACGGGCCGATCGGACGTCTGGGTCGATCCTCGCTCCACCGAGTCTAACCAGGAGAGGCATGGGCTCGGTGCCTCACCTCAGCAGTTGCTCCAGAACCAGTGGACATGAGGGTAGGTACGTCTGATAATTTTTAATGTCAGTTCATCTGCTCGAATAAAGAATGAGTGGCGTCAAGCGTGAACTTCCAGCCAGCGGAGCGCTGCGGCTTTGCAGCACGTTCCTTGTGCCTTTCTCGGAGGTTATGGATGAGGCTAAGGCTGACAGCGACAGGGTGGCTACGCAGGACCAGGGTATTGCATCCACCACCCGCTCAGTCACCTCACAGATACGACCTAATGCGCATTCGGGCTTTCTCTTTCGTTTCCATGGATGCGGACTGCTCGTTTCGCCTTGGTTTTTACACTGGGTTCTTGCCCATGCAACATGCCCTAGCATTCCAACGTGACTGTGAACCTTACCGTTGAAGGTTGGACTTATAGCGGGGGACTGGGTGTCACGCATCTTCTTCGAACGCTTTCTGCCTCTTCTCCAGTTATCCGACGATTCTCCGAAAACCAAGAGCCTACGAACAACAACCGGGGGGTTATCTAATTGTTCCTCCGACTCGCTCTGAAACTGTGGAAGCGATGGTTGATGTTGGTTGACTTTGAGCAAGGTCTAAGTGGCGGGAGCGGAACTGATTCAGTTAGTGTTTGGGGTTTGTGCGACGATGGGTAAGAGTTTCCGTTTCCGTATGCATGTGTATGAGGTCCTACTATACATTCTGACCATTCAGTGTGCGTCAAAAGAAGGGTTCAAGCAAAAAAGGCCCAAACTCATTGCTTCGGGTCTCCCGATAGTGAGACAACGACGATTCTCCACTCCCAACTCGCCCTTGCAAAGGCTGGTGACGAGTACTTCCACTTGTAGCCATACAATATGGCATTGATGGTGTAATGGTAACATCGTACCTTCCCAAGGTATGGCCCCGGGTTCGATTCCCGGTCAATGCAATCACTTTTTCCTCAGGTCAACAAACCCTCATTGGATACAATCGAGTGTATACTTTATTTATTATACATAGAGGCAGATATACATATAGATGAGCACATACATACTTTCAATTCTCAAATGTGATGAACGGTTCCTGAATGGGAGGGCTGGGAGGTCTGATCCACGGCAGCTCAGCTCTTGGCGGAGATTGCTGCCTTTGGGCATCTCTGGAAGGTGACTCCAGGATTTTCCTTCGGGATGACTCGCCTTCGTGCTTTCCTTCTCCGCTTCCCACTCGTTCGTGGGCTAGTTCCCGCTTCGGTATATTCACGGTCGGGACTTTGGGTGTCTGCACAGGGGTAACCAAGTTCGGAATATGCTGTTGGGTAACTGGGGGTGACATGGGAATCATGGGGGTCAAGCCAAGAGTTTTCCTGGTGGGTATTATCTTGCCTACAAGTCGGTTTCAAGTGAGGAAAGGACCTAGGAAAGTAGCACGAGAGGGACGTAACCTGCGCCTTTGAGAACGTCATACCCTTTCAGTCGAGTTTTGTCCCAAGTAGGGTCGACTAGAGATATCGCGGTGCTCAGTTCAGTGAACGGATACCCGGGATGAACCAGGCGTACCTGTTGAACCTTCTTCAACGGCAACGTAGTCGATGTTGTAACGTTTGAGGTATTCTTCGTCTAGTGCCCAAGGTGCATCTGGAACGACCTCATCGACCCATCGGCAATGACGGGCAATCTCGCAGCGCTCTACGTGTGGACGCAGAGGGAGGAGACTGTGTTGACTACGTTCGGCGTCTGAAAACACGCCGACGATGAGATGGGTTTGTGGGAACGAGAGCTTGGCTTGTCTGAGCTGGAGACTTTGGCTGTAGATGCGAAAGTGGGGTTAAATTCAAAGTGGTGGCCGGTCAAAGGGGGAAGAGCTCACGCGACGCCGAGTCCGTCGAATAGCCCGTCGACATAGATTCGGACGGTGCCCATCTTCTCCACGAGAACCTGGCCATGACCATAGATGGGAGGAAGGGAATGGGACTCCTCCAAAGAATTTCTGACGTAGTCTTGTATCTGGGCTGCGGTAAGCCTTGCGGTTTCGAACCTGTCCTTGGCTGGTTGTAGGGGTTGGGGTTCCAAAATTGCACGGGTGGGCGAAACCCTAAAGTTGAGAGGGCTTGAACCCGGATCTCTTTCCTTGCCCCGTACGGTGTTTTGAGCGGTAGATGGAACGGTATTCAAGCCTTCGTTGTTAGGGTTTGGAGTATGGGGATCGGAGGGGAACTCGAGCTCTTCGGAGGGGTCGTAGGTGTTAAGATCGGCTATGCTGGATTCCAAAGACCTGCTACCGTTCTCTGAGATGACATCGTAGTCTGCCAGGTCGTCGCTGAGGGTTTGGGAGAAACTCAGGCTGCTCATAGGGAAACGGTGGGGGTATTTGGTTCCGTGGATAGCGAGATGCGCTCCCGGTTATAAGTGTTGCACCCGTATCACCAGCATCATTTCTTACGTGTACGATGATAAGCGTTGACTCGGAAGGAACAAAAAATCAATCTCCGTTGTTCTTGAGGGTAAAAGGCGTTTTCATCTAACATTGGTGTACGAATGCGCATGCACGCTGAGGAGATCGGAAGGATGGCAAAGGCCCTCTCGAATTCACGACCAGGGAAACGAGGCACTCGGGGCTTGTACCCTGTAGTAGTATGACCTGCCCGATCTTCATCTGACTTGGACAACAACCGACACCTGGGCATGTCATCAACGCGTGAATCTGAGCACATAATATCTGCACGGGAAACCTTGGACAGTGAGCACATCCTCGTCGCAATATGTCGTTACCCGGACTGAGCACCCACAGCCCTGTATGATATTTCACAGCTTTTGAACACCAAGCTGGATAAAGAAACGTTGGCCACCTGCATCCAGATGATAGAGAGCGGCGTGAACCCGCAAGCGCTTGCTGTACGGAATCAATTTCCTGTGTGTTTTCCTCATATTCACGCTATTCAAGGCTGTAATCCAAGAATTAAGAAGAGAGGCTGCTGCGCTTCAATCATCGTAGTCATTTACATCCGTCGTATAGCTTACTGGCCTATGATGCACAGTGAAACATTTATAGAGCCACGCATCTGAACGACGTCAGCCACGCCTCCACAATCGTTTAACTATCTCCTGCCCCTCCACAGATGATGGAATCTCGGGCCCTCCCTCGACAAACTCCATCTCTTCTCCTTCCATAACGACCACCATGACTATCTTATTTTTCTTTCTCCTCTTCGTAAATATCCTTTCCGTTCCTGCGCTCGCGGACCTCACCGACGATCAGGTCGCGATCGTAAAACAACGCCTTGCTGAAAGTGCAAATGCGAGGTACCCGCCGTGACTCTACCTCTAACGTTTCCAAATCTCACCTCAAGCCATAGTTGGGAGCTCGGCGTAGAAGCGCAGGCATTTCTAGAACTTGACAGCCCCAAATACTCGGTCACAACATCTGGAGCGAAACTTCCGCCTAGTAGCGCCAACCCACCATCCTCTCTCAATGAGGTGTTCGCTATCGCTCGGAACGTCATCTCTGAACGAGGTGCAATCAGTAACAACCCACAGCCGTTCATTCAAGATGTCTCTTCCGGAGACCCGCCGAGTGTCGGAGTTGCAGTCATTCTCGCAAACTTGACGAATCAACAGTCCTCAGACGGTCAGAACTATCGTCAAGCAATCTTGAACCAGTTCAACTATCTATATACCGTTCCGAGGACTGACGACGGCGCCATTTCCCATCGTTCCGACGAGCTGCAACTCTGGTAAACCAAGCTTCCAATCCACTCGTCCGATTTACTCATCACTCCTTCTCCAGGTCCGACTCTGTCTACATGGTCCCTCCTTTCCTCGCCTACTATGGCGTAATGACCAAAAACAAGTCCGCGGTGGCCGAAAGTTACAACCAGATCCGTCTCTATCGTCAATACCTACGCGACCAGAACGCTAGTAGCCTCTGGAAACACATGGCATTTGGTACCAACCAAGATACGGGCCACTGGTCTACAGGTCTGCTTCAAGTCGTCCGTCTGATCATCATTAAATTTTGTATTTGCACAGGCAACGGTTGGGCAGCCGCAGGCATGATTCGCGTCCTTGGCACAATCAAGAACTCCCAGTATGCTAGCAGCTTCAAGAACGAACAGAAAGACCTCATCAACTGGGTTCTCGAGATCCACGATGGCATGTACCAGTATCTTGTATGTCCCCTGAAGAGTTGCGTCATGGAGCGTGTAATGGACTAATCGTGCCTGACGACTTCATCTAGCGATCGACCAATTGTTTCGGTAACTACGCTAACGACAACAGTTCATTTGACGACGCTGCTTCCGCCACCCTCCTCGCCTCCACCGCATACCGTTTGTCGACCTTGGCTGGAAAACATAATTACGTCCATTTAGCGGAGAGAACGCGAATTGCACTTACCGCCGTTTCCACCCTGGGAGGTGGTCCAGCGAACGGTTCTTTTGCAGCGATGGTACATTTTGATGCCGATGGGTGGTTACTTCCGGTCGTAAACCCGTTGGCGGTCGGGGAATTAGGGTCGCAAAGTCCCGAGGCTCAGGCATTCGTGCTTATGATGCAGGCTAGTTACGAAGATTGGGCGCGAGCTGGGTACAAAGGAATCAACAGAGGTACCCGGAGTGGGACCTCTCCCTCTCTCTCGCTGGCCGTGTCATTTTCAGCTGGCGTCGCCCTGGTGCTTGTTCTATTTTTTTAATGAGAGATATGTGATACGTTGCTGCTAGCTGTCTTCCCGGTCGTAATAATCATCCATCTCCTTTTTTTTCACACGGCTGACACAGGGCACGGCGATTACCGAGAGTCTGAGTCTCTCCGCTTCCCGTTGTGCGAGTCGCATGCTGTAGTACCATTGCTAAGACTCGCTGTGCGGTCTCTTCTTTCTCTCCTCAAATCTCCACAAATCTGCTATTTCTTCTTCTTCGCCCTCTCCCAATGCCCTCGCTCTTCTCGAGGGCGCGAACTACCTCAACATCCAAGCCCTCCCAGACCGCCAACGGCGTAGACGAGTTCGGCAGAGCTCCTACACCCCTCCGTAACAAATCTTCCTTCGGCACTCCTACGAAAAAGGACAAGAAGGATAGGTCTGCAAGGTCCCGCACCCTCAGTACTCCTGAACCCGACGCCCAAGAGTTCTTCTCCGAGATCCCGGATGGTAGTTTCCTTCCTCTCAACCTAAACCCACCTCGCTTCGACACACCGGAACGCGAAATCACTTATGATTACGGTTATCTCTCCTACAAGCGCCATGTCGTGCTTGGGCTCGAGGAAATCTCCCGTCTCGTCGACGTTGTAACCCAGGAGCTATGCACTCGCGGCCTCACCACCCCGTTTATCTTTTCTGCACTCGCCCTCGATGTCTCCGCCACCTCAACCACGAGACTTATAGAGGCCTTCCTCCAAACCTGCAACTCGATACACCCTTCGGTTGACCAGAAATGGCGGGAGGAGGCCCGGTTCGCGGGTCCTCACGAACTGGGCATGTGTCTCCGCTGGGGCCTCGCTCGGGCAGTCAGGATTGTCGGTGGACTGGAAGTTCGCGGTTTACTCAACTACGAATTCTACGTCGACTGGAGAGACTCTGAATCTGGTACGCCTGTGCTTTTCCTTTTGCCTGAGGTCGCTGATCCGTCGATCGCTTACACGTTCCTCCCCTAGCGATGAATTACCCTCCAGCCTTCTTTACCAACTTTTTGGACGCTCTCGATCCAGTGCTACAGTCCTTATTAATTACCCTTCTCACTCTTCTCAGCCGTCTCAGTGCCCACTCGGCCTCTTCTGGTCACACTCCACCATCCCTATCACCCTTGTTTGGCCCACTTCTCTTCGGCCTCGGCCCTTCGTCCCTTTCATTCCACCACGCATATCACCGATATCTCCGAGCTACCAACGCTACCGAACACATCATCCTCGCTTCCATACGATGGCAGGACGCCACCAGCAACACCGGCCTTGGTGTCCC